TTTTTTTTTTTTTTTCAAATTTTAACATTGTGAGATTATAAACTCGTAAAAAATATTGCAGATTTTTTATTTTTGCAGTTATTAAAAATATGCCAAAATACTTTGACAAAATTCATCATTTTTATTGAAATAGAAAATTTAATTATAATATATATTTTATTTCTATTATACATTAATCATAAATCAAAAAAATATTTATGCTATATATAAAGATAATGAAAATAAAAAAATCAAAACTATATGTGACTGGATAAGGAAAATTAGAATTAAAACTTTTTCCAACTTCCTTTCTTCTTTGAAATATAATATCACTTGTGAACCACACAAATATATATATATGAGCATTAACATGATATAGCATGCATTGATGTCAAATTTTTATGAGAAAATAAAGATGAGAAATTTCTTGAAATAATATTATTTAAGATATTATTTGAAAGAAAAAAGATATAGTTAATCTATTGTCGTTTAAAGATCTGATGTATTTCTCCAAACGAATCGAATTACACTAACTTTTACATAAAGTTAATCTAAAAATTTAACCAAGCATTTACAAGAATGTAAACTGTCGTAGGTCGGCGGATGGACGTGGTAGCAGCTGGAAAGTTCGAACACGGAGGAAAGTACGAACCTGGAATCCGTCGTCATCGGCGGCGACGTCGAAGAAAGGCCAAGTTGACAAAAGTCGGTAGATTTTCACGGAGGAAGAAGAAGAGCGCGAATTCGTTATTGAATCAAGAGAGATAGAGGCGAATCGTGGTAATAAGATATTGAGTAAATCGTGCTTCTTCTAAGAAAATCGCGGTTCGAACACGTCCGTGTTCGTTCCTTGATTCCACCAGTGCCATTCAGTGTTCTCTAACCTAACTTAATCTATTGGAATCAATAAAATAAAATGAGATAAAATAAAATAAATTAAATTAAAATATTGAACTAAATTATATCCAACGCTTAAATATCGCGAAACGAAGAACGTCGTGCCACGTGAATCGGAAAAATTCGACGAATGCTTTGTCTTTGTACATTTTTTTATTATTGTGACATGAGTGTGGTTTGATATAGTGCAGTATAGTTTTTTTTCTTTTTTTTTTTCAAAATCGCTGTTTTATTTTGTTGAGTCGAAGGATATTGAAGGGGAACGATAGTGTGAATTTAATTCGTGCGAGTGAGAAAAAAATATTGGTGTCAGTTTTGAAACGACTAAAGGATTCGTACTTGCAAGATGATACTGCTTCGAACGATTTTGATGGTGCTCTTCACTGTGATGGCTACCGGGACACCGAGATCCTCGATCATTTATGCAGATGATAAAGTGGTGAGTTCTTTTTTTTTTTGTTTTTTATTGAATTTTTTATACAAAGAATTCAGAACTGAAGCAATTTTTGTTAAATTTCGTTTTTTTCGTAGAAGAATATAAATTGTACAATTATTATGATTTATTTTTATAATTATATTATAAAAAAAATTTTATCCAATTAAATCGTGATATTGTGTGGTGGATCGTACGATTGCAATTGGATTGGAAAAAGAACAATATTGTTATTTTTGATATTTTTTTCTAACATTTTAAAATAAAAAGATAATTAAATAGATTAGAATTAATATTTCAGGATATGTATATTTTTATGATTCACTATAAATACGTGACTTGTCTCTGTGATACAATAAGATAAATTTAATTTAATACGTGATGTTTTGAAATCTTTACTTATATAGCCTTGTTTAGATCATTGGAAATATTAATTTAAATAATTGAGATGATCATAATGATTCATATCAAGTCGATGTTTATTCTATAAGCAAATTATTGATAATTATTTTGTATAATAGACTAATTTTTATTGTTAGGAAAAATAAATCAAAATTGTATCATATAATCCAATTAAAACAATTAGTTAAAAAGCAGAAACATGTATACAATTTTCCTTTTTTCACACGGAATCTATTAAAGTTCAAAACGAAAGTTGAGTTCTCTAGGGAGAATGTAGTAAGTCAAACATACAGAATATTAAATTAAGAGAATATTAAATTAAGAATTAAGGGCTATGAATGTTGAACGTTCAAGGACAGATTTTATCTGTAGTTTCAGGCAAACAACTTCTGTCTTATTCGTATCTCGTTAAAATGATTGGCATTAATATTCGGACATGTTGATTTTCGAAAGCTTATCGTTATATAGAGTGTTTCACAGAATTGAGACGAGTTATTTTCGTATAAAATATGCAAAAATTTTATTAGGCAAAACTAAATAATTTCTAATCAATATGTGATCTAAAAATAATCTTTTCTATTTTTTCATTCTGGATTAAATTAATAATTTTTTATATATTGATTAATATAAACAGAAAAAAGTATATTAGAATTTTACTGTTTGAAAATGATAATGTAAAGCATAGATTTGAATTTTAATTATATAATATTTGAGAGATAAAGAAAATATAAATATAAGTATAATAAAAAATATTCAAAGATATTAAAAGTAATTTTTTGTAGATTTTTATCATTAACTTAATTAATTAATTAATGTCATTTTTGATTAAATTTTATTTATCTTACAAAAAACAGTTGATAAATGAAAAAAATGAAAAGTTTGAAAATATATAAAAGATATATATATAGAATATATGTATATAAAAGAATATTCGAAGAATTTTTTGTTTGAAAAAGTAAAATTCTAAATTTATATTAATATTACAAATTTAATATCTAACATTGACTATCTCTATTACGTTTATTGAAAATATTTTATTGATATTCAATTTCTAACTCAATATTGTAATAAGTATTAATAAATATCTTAAATTTTTTTAAACATTTTTAATATTTAAAACTTAGAAATATTAAAAAAAAAAAAATTAAAATAAATTTAAAGTGAAAAAACTAAATTCAATAATAATAAATAATCACCTAGAATTCAACACAAAACAAAATTGATTTTAAAACTTCAAATTGCCTCCATCTGTAAAAAAATACATTATGCTCTTTTTTATGAAACTTCTTCATGCAATAATTTTTCAATACATACATAATTTACCAGTTATTCAAGTTTTATAAAGTTTGATCAAGTTTGAAAGCGATTATAGTACATTCTAAGTGTAAATGGTCTTTTTTTTTTTGCATGAATGTTAAACACATATATGTAATATTATTTCATGCGTGTGTCATAGAAATGAGTCGACTTGTGAATGTGTGACGATGACTAAAAGCCAAAATACGAGTCGATTCCACGTACAAATAACGTATATTGACTGCGTGCTTCAGTAATAGCGCCTGCGTCATCATAACCCTCTTTTCTGTGTAACTATTCCTTTCTTTCTTCCTAATGTATATTCTCATCGAATATTTCACAAAAGAACAAAGAATTAGGTTAGGTTAGGAAAAATAGGACAAGTCTTATTTCTATCTATTATTTCGAAAATGAAACAAATGAAAAACATGAAAACAATTAAAAAAACTGAAATTTTGTTTATTCTCTTCTAATCGAAAATGTGAATTTAACTTTAACTCGAATTATCTGTCACACGTTTAAGCGTGTTATTTAACCTACAAATTTCAGAATGAATCAATCTCTGTGAATATATCTCGAAATTTACCTTATAAGTCAAACTTTTACTTATCATTGCTTCAAAACACGTAATTATTAATTAATTTAATAATAGTTAATTAAAATCTCTCTCCCTCCAAAGGAATATTCCACGAATATTACAACATCTTCTACATTAAATTCTTACACAATATCGAATGGCATATAATAGTACCGTTCATCCACGAGAAGAGTGAAATGGCAGAAAGAAAACAGGAGATTTTTGCTTCAATATATTACGAATACTAATGTGTTGACATAGTAAAATTCTTGTAAACTATAATAACAATATATTTTCTCAATAATTAACAGTCTGCTTATAAGATAAATGTTTGAAATATATTCATTGTCATTGCATTTGTTCTAATCACACTAGATATATGTTTTCTTCATCAGATGATTCGACCAATTACGTGTGACGCAAAATATAGATGCAATAGTGGGGCAATAATAGCCATATTTTTCTGTTTACCATTTTTTCTTGTGTGAATGAATACAAGAATATTATCTCCAATAACTAGTAATTTATTACGATAAAGTAATAATGCAATAACAAATATCACCGTGTCATAGATAGAAGCTGACAGAAAGATTCCGTGTGAAATGGGCTTAAATGGGCGTAGTAGTAAACCCCGCTAGGAGAGAGTGGATTTTATCAGCTGAGGCCTTCGGCCTTACTTCGAAACCATTAAGCCAGGCATTTATATGCAATCGAGGTCGTTAACTTTACTGCAGGAAGCGCCGGCGTGTATACAGAATTCTTCGGCTGTGTGTCAAGATGTGACACACGCACTTGCGCTCTATGTACGTATAGATATATGCGCGTCTGGTCAATGCGTCTGGTCAACGCGTAAGAGTCCGTTTATACTATCCAACACGACGAAAGATTTGTCGAGCAAGCTCTAACCATTGGAAGAGAGTGGAAGAAAGTAGTAATAGTAGTGAAACTTGAAGAAAGAGATGGAAGAAATAACGGCTTTTTTCGTATTATATCACTTTGACAAGATCTCTACCTTACCCTCACACAACGACATTTTTTAAACCTGTTGAAGAAATAAGTAATTAAGAATGAAGTTACTTTATTTATTTTATTAAAATGCTTGAATAACATTTATTTGTATTATAGTTGATTCTCTATTCATATAATTGCAGTTATTCAATGTTTTGAACAATAAATTATTAAAGTGATTTATTGAACTTTATTCTTAACTTTACTGTTATATTTTGCTTATCTATGTTCTCACAGTGTAATACAAATAAGATACTTATTATTTTCTTCACTTCTTTTTCTAGTGAGTGAAACCATCACTATTACTATTTTGTCCCACTCTTCCAACGATTAGTTTTTGCTAGGCAATTCTGGACGCGACACCGATCTATACGTGACTCACACAAACGTTCTTGCGTGTAATCAAATGGAAGTGTTTATGCGTCACACTACGCACGTATATTCGAACATCTTATATGAAAGTAATTATTTCGTCGAAAAATATTTTTGCAAGAGGAAATTAATCTCCAAAGTTTTAACATTTTTTTCATGTTCTCAATACAATTTTGAATAAGAATTGTTTTATATTAGGAATGTTTATATTTCGAATGCAAGTCGAATGAAAAATTTTCCTTCATATTTATATACAAACTTTCCAAGTTCATAATCGCTATATGAATTAAAATTTAGATATTCGAAGTTGCAAATAATTTTCGAGATCTATCTCGATCCGGGGCTTAGATATTCCTCATTATTATTATTATTATATTATCATTAGCATTATTAATGCTTGGTCATTAACTAGGGATCTAGAGTTTAAAGTAAATTCCGAAGCAACATCACGGTGTTCTCAAGCGGTAATCGAGTAACTAACCATATCTGACATCGTTTAACTTCGATGATCAAACAAGACTAGTAGATTCTACGTGGTAAAATTGTTGGCAGAAAAGAAGCATTGAGACAAAGATGAAGAATGAGGTCGTGTGTAAAAAAGAAGTGAAAGATAATAGGTTGTAACATGATATAGAATTGCGGATTGTTTGTATCTTCAAATTGAATTTTTGAGTGGAATAATATACACAATTGTTGTTGTAACGTATGAATTAATTTTAGATAATAGATAAATACGAAATTAATAATCGGTGGAAAAATATTTTACAAAGTTAAATATAAAACAAAGAATAGCAATTTTATGTTTATAAACTCGTTTTTAGAAGTGACATGTGTGTACGGAAAATCTTGGCTAGACACCAAACATACTTGGAATTTAGTATTGTTCGATGTTATCGACCTACGTTCTTGGAACTTTATCAATTGGCTTTATCGAAGAGAATATATTTTTTTACATTGTTATTTTTTTTTTATTAGTTTAAAAATAAAATATATATAATTTTTTTAATACTAAATTTATATTTTAAGATTTCAAAGAAAAATTTAATAAGTTAATCTTTATCGACAAATGTTTAATATACGTATCTATTTAATTTAATTTCATTTCTTTATTTATATATTGAATCTTATAATTTTATGATTGAATTAAAGAGATAGATATTTTTATAAAATCAAGAGAAAAAAAATTTTAGTAACAATAATTTTATAAAAACTTATTTCCACACATTTAAGATTATTGCAATATTAAAAGTTACGATTATTAGAAGATTAAAAATGACACTTTTTCATATTTCAAGTAAACATTTTTCTAGTATAATATCCATTTATTTGTAATATACATAATTATCAAGAGACAAAAGTAAAGATACAAAAGTGTAAATATATTCTACAAATATAAATATAAATAATATATGAAATATACATAATAATATATAAATAAAAGTATCATAATATACATAATAAAAAAATAAATTCTCTTAAAGTTTTTGTATATCTTATGTAAAAATATAAATGATGACTAAATATGTAGTACAAGTAGCGTTTTTGAAACATGCTTTTAAAAATGGATAGAAGCTTCAATGAATTATATTGAATTAACTGTTTCTCACAGTGTTATTTAAGAGTTTTATAGGTTAATAGGTTTTCCAAAATATGCAGTTAAACATGCTTCCTTTATGGCTTCCGAATATGTCTGTCAAAAAAATAGTAAAATCAATATTCGACAATTTAACCAATTATTATATCATTCAAAATACTTACTGGATGTGCATGACACGACCTTGCAACATCTTCTGCCTTTATCTTACATTGCACAGCAAGAGCTGCCTCGTTAATCAATTCACCAGCGAATGAACTAATCATATGCACCCCCAATATTTTATCCGTACGTTTATCTGCCAATACTTTAACGAAACCATCCGTCTCGAGATTCGTTCTTGCTCTAGAATTTGAAGTGTTTGGGAATTTTCCAACTTTGTAATCGACTCTTTCTTGCTTTAATGTTTCCTCCGTTTTGCCAACCCAAGCAACTTCTGGATATGTATATATTATGTGGGGCACGCTATTGTAATCCATTTGATTAGTACCTGGATGAACATATGATCTTTGTAAATTTCTTCAGAAATACAGAAATATAATAATATAGATAACTCATCACCTCCTGTAATGCTTTCAACTGCAATAACAGCCTCGTCTTCGGCTTTATGAGCCAACATAGGTCCATGAATACAATCTCCAATAGCATAAATCCTATAATAAAAGTTTTATTTTATTAAATTTTACATGCATATATATAAAATAAGAGATAAAGAAAAATGAAAAAAAGGAAAGAAAGAAATGTACACTTACGTTGGTACTTCTGTTTGGAATTTGCTATTTACAGGAATTCGGCCTAAATTATCTTTTTTAATTCCTACGCTCTCTAATCCTAAATTGTGCGTGTACGGCCTTCTGCCAACACAAATTAGAAACGTATTGCAAGAAATATTCTCTTTCTTACTAGAATCGTTTATGTTTTCGACAGAAACAACTATGTCGTTTCCTGTTTTGTTCGCAGAAGTGACTTTCGTTTCCATTTTAAATTTTATGCCTTGTTTAGTTAAGATATTTCTTAATATTTGACTAACTTCCTTATCTATAGTTGGCCCACCAATAGTTGATGAAGAATCAATTGCCGTTACGTCCGAGCCAAATCTAATAATTAAAAGAATTAAAAAAGAATTAAAAGAAATAAAAAATAATAATTAAAGGAATTAAAAATCGATATTGTTTTTACATTTCTTACATCAATTTTGATAATAAAAATACCTCTGCCAGACTGAACCTAATTCCAATCCAACGAAACCAGCGCCACCTGTCACGAATTTTGAAGGTGTCGAGCTTAACGACAAAGCTCCGGTAGATGAAATAATTTCTCTTTCGTCGATGTTTGTACCTATTAACGGTGTATATTCGCTTCCAGTGGCGATCATAATTCTTTTAGAATTAATTACGCTTTGTATCGAACCATCTGGATTAAGTGCAGTAACTTGATTTGGATTAGTGATTTTTCCATGGGCCTTCACCCAATTTACTTTATTCTTTTTGTACAAAAGAATAATACCGTTTGCTAAAGATCTTATTACATTCTGCTTTTGCTGCATGCATTTATCGATATGAAGTTTAACATTTTCAACTGTAACGAGGAGAAAAAGAAAAGATGTGGTGA